TTTTTTTCAGTTCTATGTTACATAAGCTTGTAACAAGACTGAATGCCTAGATACCCATCCTAGTCCTAAGGGGAAAACTCCTTGATTCCTTTGTGGCCTAAGGTACTATCTGCTTTGGTGGATATATTTATTATCGGTCCATTCATAAAATGAAAGAGGATATTTAAAGAACTCCATGTAGCAAAGGGATGTTCAGGTTCCCATTTCTTTGGGACTTAATAGGAGATGAATCTAGTCTGAGAAGAAAAAAAAAATAAATCATCACTTTCCTGCAATTTTCAAAATCAATTAATGCTACGTAGTTTCTTTTTAGTTTGCTAAATTTTACACTTGCCTACTCATTCACAGGATGTTACCATACTTTCATGTTTTATACTAATGTAATCATAACATATGTACATACATCCCCTATGTAGAATATATTTGCATACACACGTATTCATTACTTTATACACGCATATGTGCATACATTTACACTCTGAGTTCTTGGGTTGTGTGCTTACATTCCCAATGCAAACTAATTTTTAAAAATATTTTTATTATTTTTTAATTTATGTGTGTGTGTGTGTGTGTGTGTGTGTGTGTGTGTGTGTGTGTGTGTGTGTGTATCGATGTGTGGATATTTGCATGTGAGTGGCATGCCTGTAGAGGCCATAAGAGGGCATCATAGCCTCTGAAGCTGAAGTTGTGAGCCACCCATTGTGACAGTAGGGAACTAAACTTGGGTCCCCAGGAAGAGCAAGCAAGCACTTTTAACCACTGAGCCATCTTTCCAGCCCTTCCACTAGATTTTTTTTGTTCTTTTGAGTCAGGGTATCTCATTGAACTAGGAGCTCACTCTTTTGCTGAGACTAGATGGCCAGCATGGCCCAAGGATCCTTCTGACTCCATGTACTCCCCACAACGTTTGAATTACTGTGTACACTACCAGGCCTGGACTTTTTTTATGGGTGATGGACTTAGGATCTCATGTTTGTGAAGCAAGCACTTAGCCAACTGAGCTGTCTTCTCAAACCATAAGCTCTTAGAAATAGTATTCCTACCTGTTTTGGTCAATCATATTTGAAGGTTCTGGTACAGTACCTAACATATAAGAGGTACTCTTGAGTAGTCACAGAAGCATTGGCTATTCATCTATTGCTCCCAAATCATTAGCTTGTAACTCTGGTTGCATTATAAAACCACCCAGAAACACTTGTATATTCACTTGATCAATATGCATACAAAATGTCTGGGCTCTGCGTTGAGCAATGTCACTGGCAAAGGTGCCCAGGTGGTTCAGACCAAGAGTGGGAGCTAGGGTGCCAATCTCTCTAGTACCTCACTTTGCCCATCCCTAAGGAAAGATGACGGTCTGCTAATGGAGAATCCTGGCAGTACATTGCTCCCAGGCTAGAGGAGGAGTTCTATTTTCTGCATTCCAACTTCATGACTGCAGCTTCTGCTTAGTCTTCTCAGTTTAGACTCCATCAAAGAGACGCAAGACCTCAGTCTCCTCTCTCACACACACTGGTCTGAGGTAGAGGTGCACAGGATCCCCACCAAGCCAGAAAAGGACAAGTATAATTAATCTTCCATCAATGTCGCCCATCAATATCTGTCTTATAGTGAGCTAAATGACGTACAATCAGAGCTGCAACTTCCTCAGAAGTGGATAAAGAGTTCATAGAAAGTGCTGACCTGTACCACACAATTTAAGTAGAGATGAGACTAATTGTCTTGGAAGCACTTCTAGAGACTATTAAAATGTCTCAACCCATGTTTCTTCCTGAAGTGAAAATGGGGCCTTCTTGTTTGATTTCCAGCTTTCTGTTTTACAGTGGCAAAACTCTTCTCAACATGAGCCTCTAGCCTGGTTCTCCAGGTAACACTGCAAGACAGGCATCATCCAGAGATGCCAAAGATATAAATGCAAGCTTAGCAAGTGGATTGCTGATGCCCATGGAACACCTCAGAGTCATAGCTGGCACGTAAGCTCTGGCTGGTTAGTTTCCAAGCCATTCTTCTTCCTGACCCAGCCTTCTCCAACCTTTGTTAAAGAATCAAGCTGCTATCGTAGCAGTAGTGAGCATGAATCTTGAATTCAGTTGAATTGGGTTTGACTTCAAGTGTTTCCCTTTCCCTCTATGTGATGTTGGACAAACTGTGACATTTCCCTGAAGGTCATCAACTCTATTTGGTGGGAAAAGGTTTTAATTAATACCACACAATAGTTTTGCTATGGGATAATATGATAATATACATACAACAATGAGTAAAATTTGCTATTCATAAGATTAGTCAAAGACCAGTATTAGAACAGACAATGAATAGTCTCCCCAGTGTGCTATGATGGAATGGTTTGTTTTCCATTGAGAACAGTACAGCCCTTTGGCATCGACAAATGCTCAGTTCCAGAACCTTCTGCATAACATCCACAGATGTTCAAGTCTTTGGAATAAAATGATAGAATAGTGATTCTCTGCAACCTCTAATATGTTGTATATGCTAAATAAATAACTTCTGTATAGTATTGTTTAGGGAACAATGACAAGGAAAACATTCATGTTCAGTACATAGGCAAGTTTTCTGTTGTTTCCACCCAATGAATAGGGAGAGATATCTGTATTCTTCGATGGCTTTCTCAAATAAATTATGACTCTGACTTTTTGGTTACTGATAACCATCATAATTTTGAGCTTGTAACACATAGCATGAAATAAACTAGAATGGTATAAACAGAGCTATAAATCAGAATTGGTGGAGATTCAAAATCATAAAGTGTTAGCAAATTAAACCCACTGAGAGCTAAAATATCAATAATTCAATTACCAACAAAAATGTATTTCAGAATAAAAAGGTAAATCAAAATAGAAAAATGTAAGATAGTCAGCCTGATACACAGTTTAGAGGAGTTGGCATGAATAAGAAAAGGCCAAGGGATATGCTACACTTGTACATAGAAAATTGGTATGTACATTTGTGTGAATTGTGTGTGTGTTTGAATGTGCATGGGTGTACACACACTTGTTTGTGTGTAACAAGGCCAAAGATTGACATCAGTATTGCTTTAACCATCAACTTGGCATAGCCTAGAGTCACCTAAGAAAGAATTCTTGAGTGACTGACCAGATTATGCCTGAGAATATGAGGGAGCCAAGGACTAGCACATGGGGTGACAGTGGTCACAGTGGCCCTGGAACCCAGCTCTCTCTCTCTCTCTCTCTCTCTCTCTCTCTCTCTCTCTGGCATGTCTATGGGGTCTATCTTGATTGTTAGATGTGCACTGTAGACCGCATCATCTCCTGGGCCAGTAGTTGCAAACTATATTATGAAACTTTCTAGGCATGGCCTGCAAGCGAATCATCAAGCAGTGCTCTGCTCCTCCGTGTTTTCGCTGTACTTGGTTGGTGATAAGGGAGACCTTTGGTCAGAGGAAACACAACAGCAAGCAGGCCAACCTTCAGATTCCAGTTTCAATTTCTGCCCAGGCTTCCTTCAGTGATGAAGTGTAACTTGGAAGCTTGAATAAGCTCTTCTTCTCTAAGTTGCTTTTGGTCTGAGTGTTTTATCACAGGACCATAGAAAGGAAACTGTAGCAGGCCTTCCTCGGTTTCTCTCTACCTTTCATGTTGGCACAAGCTCCCTTGTCAACCAGGAACTCACTACTTGACTAGTCTTGCTAGCCAGCTTTGCTCTAGGCCTGGCTTGTCTCTGCCTCCTGAATACTAGGACTGCAGGCAGCTTCCACACCATGCTGCCTTTTACATGGCTTCTGGGGATCTGAACTCCTGCCCTTATGCTTGTGAGGTAAGCGGTTTACCCACTGAGCCATCTCCCATCACCCATCGGCCCTGGCACTTGACTATTTTTAAATCAAGAACAAGTTTATAATACCAAACAGATTTTAGAATTTTATCAGCTAAGGTCTTTAAAAAGAGAAATCATTTAGTTCTCTGTATCTATCTCTATATATCACAAAATTAATATCAAAATATGATTAAAATACAGCTCAATATCCAACATCATGTTGGATAAGTTCACTTTGCATTAGAGATTAGTCAAGTGTAACTGCTCTAGTTTTATCAGACCAAGTAATAACACATAGTACCCTCTATCTGGTATGGTTACAGATTATTTGTGTTCCTACCTTTAATTAAGTACATTTAGTATGTACTTTAAAATAGTAACATTAATCTCACAATAGAACTAAATGTATTGAAATATTTTAATAAACATTCCATTAAAGTAATGAAGCATGTTTTGGTGACCATTTATGCTGACATGTGAAATGTACATAATAAAGCAAATATTTTTTAAAAAAAAAATCTTTTACAATATTTCTTCTGATGACCAAAAAAGGAATTCATAGCATAGGGTTGGGGATGGCTGAGTGGATAAATTGAGGATCTGAGTTCGATCTCACAGAACCCTTCTTAAAAAAAAAAAAAGCATGGTGGTACATACTTGCAATCAAGCAAAAACAGAGAGCCAGGCAGCCTAACCTTCAAGTTTCAGGCCAGTGAGACACCCTTCCTCATAACAGAGTAGATGGCTCATAAGAACATCACTCAAGGTTCTCCTCTGTCCCTCCCCCAGCACACACTGCATACATGTGTACCTGCATATATACTCATATGTTGTCTGTACACAAACAAGTACATGCACAGATACACATCTTCACAAAGAATTTCACAGGATGGCTATGGTGCTTCCATGAGAGAGTGCTTTCCTAACATGCCTGAAGCCATGGTTTCTAGGACTAGCAGCTCCTCAAGAAAAACAGTACAAACCCCAAAGAATTTCTTGGTGGATCTTTGGGTTTGAGGAATGTGGTTCAGCACATGGTGACTATCAATTACATGATGAGAAGTATTTTGTGAGAGACTTAACCTCCCAGATTTCCTTCTGGACTGTGGCTTTGAATGTGACTCCTGTATAGACACAGCACTTCCTCACTCCTTAGCCTTCACTGTGTCTTCATCTAACACATGGATTTAGGGCTTAGTTACAATACTTACCCATTCTCCAGTTCAATTGAGCCTGACTGGAACTTCCAGTGAGATCTGAGGAGCTGGAGAAAGCCATTGGTGAGAGGAAGGAGACCAATGGGTCGTCACAGTTGTCTGAAAAGATAGGGAGAGCAGGAGAGGTTATACTCTATTGGCAAGAAAAATATGCCCTCTCATTTCTTAGTTATTTTCTCTGGAAAAGGTTGGGGACTTGTAGTGGGTAGCCATTCCAGCTTTGGTCTGAAAGTTCCAACCCCCACCGAGGCTTTGGTAACTATCACACCCACAAGGCGGGGCCAAGGGAGGGCCTGAAGACCCAAGATTGGGACATGCTGCCTCTCTTGCTGCTGGGAGCCCGGATGCTAGAGGTGGAAGGAGGAGAGTTCTCCAGAGAACATCGCTGGACTACTGCTGTGTCTTTCCCAGAACCCTCAACCTACCTATCCCTTCATTTATAAGTTACGCCATTAAATAAATTTCCTTTTAACTACATGGAGTGGCCTTAATAATTTCACCAAAAGGGACTGTTTTTCAGTGTGCATTATTGCAGTTACTTCTCCTAGCCCTCAAACATGGAATGACTTCCTTTCATAGATAGAGAAAATGAAGGCTGGAGGGGTTCAAATTCACAACACTAGTGAGTAGCATAACCAACCAAAACTCTCAGGAAGATTTGTTTGAGTCAAAATCACAGCTCCCAATCCATCTCTATAGTTGAGCATTTGAGCAAAGCCTAACAACATGTCTGTGTTGAGTCCATAAGAAGGGAGACTCTTATAAGAGGATATTGTTTATCTCCCATCTTCAGCCTCCAAGGACCCTTGCAATAATTGTGTCCTTCCCAATAGGATAATTTTGAATTTCTTACTACAACTTGTAGGTGAGCCAGTGAGAAATGTGCTACTTACCTAACAGCTCACTCATGCTACAAGAAGTAAAAGAGAGTAGTCTCAGATGTTGCACAATCTTGAGCTGAATAGTAACTTCAATAGCTAACTTTCTAGCCTTCCCTGGTGAGGTACTTTCTAAGGCTGCATTGGCAACACTAAACAAGTATGGGGCCATTGGGTGAATGGGGCCATTGGGTCAATGGAGCCGTTGACAGAGACATGTCTTGGCAACATGGTTATGTCCCTCCCAGTTCACACTAATCCACAGCCACTGGATTTCACATGGAGGGACTTGATCTTCACACTTAGCAGATGCCACATACGTAACTGGTTTGAACATCTGTGCTCCCCAAAGCCAGTACTGAGATTTAACTACCATGAAAACAAACTAAGAAGCAGGATCTTTAAGAGGTGATTAGGCCGTGAGCCTCCACCGTCCTCGTGAGGTTAGTGTTTCTGAACTGCAGTTCCTCAGCCTCTTTCCTTCTGTCACATAGTGACTCAGCCATTTGGCCTTGTTACATACAGACACCTTGATATCAGACTTCCCATCATCCAGAAATGTCAGCCAACAACTGTTCCTATGAGTGACCCTGTCTCAGGTGTTCTGTTACAGCAGCACAAGACAGGTGAAGGAGCTTAGTCATCCATGTACTGTAGTGATGCGTTTTCCTGAATCTTCCACTAGATGGTCCATGTTTTGTAGGTCCTTAGCAAGGAATCTACTGCATAATGGAACTCAAGTAAATGTGTGCGGAAAGAGTGGGATGGTGAATGATGAGGACAGGGACAAGAGAAAGGACCAATCAATCAACCAATTAGCTAATCTCACAAACCAACACTCTTTTCCCATTTTTTCATTTTGTCCACAATTGATTCTCTGAGACATTGAAAAATGACTTCATAAAATCTAGACAGACTTTATTCAAAACAGATTTGAAATGAAATGTGCCACTCAAGGTAAATTTTCTGGTATGCAGGCTCTTGGGAGGAAGTGATCTGACATTTGAAAAGAACATTTACATAGGATCATGCTTGTTTATCCAGCCAAGTCTTACAAAGCTGTGTTTCAGATAATTGCAGAAAAAATAATTAAAAACGTGAGGATTGAATTCTTGTTTAAGTGTGTTTAAAAGTCACCGAGTAAACTGTGTTTCAGGTTCCTCCCAAATGCAAATGCTTAAACATTGTTTGACAAGGACGGAACAGAGGCATATCCCAACTGGAGAGGAAACATCATAAACACAGCAATGGCAGCTTGGGGGCTCTAGGGCTAGGGGCATCCAGCAAAAGTCCACGGGGCATGGGGCCGCCTTACTCCTAACACAGGATGCAGGCTAGAGAGGGGCATGTGCACCACTAAGCACTTGTTTGATCTCTCTCTCTCTCTCTCTCTCTCTCTCTCTCTCTCTCTCTCTCTCTCTCTCTCTCTCTCTCTCTCTCTCTCAAATACAAGGCTGAAATTGCATTTGCTTATGACCCTTTTGTCATCAAGAGAGATCAGAACATCAGATCCAGTCGGAGGAAAAGCTCAATTTGGGAAGTGTTTGTTATGCAACTTTAAGGACCTGAGTTCAACAACCCAGATAAAAACCCTCTTAAATACCAGCACTAGGGAGGAAGAGACAAGTGAATCTTTGAGGATTGCTTGCCAGCTAGTATAACCTATTTTGTGAGCTCCAGCCCAGTGAGAGGTCCAGTCTTAAAAGACAAGGTGGACAGTATTTTGAGGAATGATGCTAGATTGATCTCTGATTTCCATAGACACACAGACATGTACCAAAAGGCATATGTACCCACACACATGTGCACCTGCGCACTAGAACATGAACACACATGCATGCACAAACACAGGCAAGCTCACACAGTGCAATTATCCTTAATAGGCTCTGATAACTTTTCTATGTGTCATGGATGACCTTTATAAGCACTGTACTCCTGGCTCTGGTCATCTCCAAAGCCTTTCTTATCAAGTTTTATTGTACAATGACCCTTTTATTTTTCCACAAATTTGTATTTTGTATTCTAATAGAACTGATTACATTTATATATATATATATATATATATATATATATATATATATAAATATAAAATCTGAATCCCACATCACTTAGAAAACAGCTTGGGTGCTTAATTTTTCTCCTTTAGTAGCCCTGGTGTACACATGTAAATTGTTAAAACGCATGTAGCATGGAAGCATAGTTGTGACATAATTATTTAAATTTAAGCCATCACATGTATTTTTTTTTTTGTTTTGTTTTTCGAGACAGGGTTTCTCTGTGTAGCTTTGCGCCTTTCCTGGAACTCACTTGGTAGCCCAGGCTGGCCTCGAACTCACAGAGATCCGCCTGGCTCTGCCTCCCGAGTGCTGGGATTAAAGGCGTGAGCCAGCCATCACATGTATTTTAAGGTTCTATTTGTGCCTGTCCTCACATGGGCACTGGGGATAGATCTGAGCAAAACAGAGCCATACACCATAGGTTGCTCACAGACCATTCACAAATATAAGCATACAAACAGGTGTTCTGCAGGGAAAGCTTAGAGCATGTTCACATTCCAGCTCTCTGTGCTCCTCTGACAACAACTTTAGGAGGACCTGAACTTCAAGAACCCATTGTCCTCACAGCAATAAAAGCCACCTTCTCTACTGCCTATTCCCACCTCTGACCTTTCTGAGGACAATGTTTCCAAGTTGGGCATCAGCAAATCCGTGAACAATGACCTCAGCCAAGGGACAGGCCCAAGGGAGAATCTGAAGTGTCTTGTCCTCACAGACCTGGTAAACTTAAAGAGTGGGTTCTAAAGAACTCATCTGAACCTAAGCTCTCCTGTCTCAAAACAATGATAAAAACAGAAAATTTTCAAATCAGAAAGGAAGAGAGATCATCCTGACTTCCACCTGGCCTAAGGAGGTGATTCCTTGTGGCATCTCCATGTTTACCCAGTAACCCTGGCAGAGAATAGACTGGGCCTTTAGAGCTTGGAGGTCCCAATTCCTAGATATATTTCTTCTCTTGCCATGATGTCTGAACATGATCTAGGTAAGCAGAGCAAGCTGTGCTTACGTGTCTGTCAAGCAGAGAGGCATCTGTACCTTATCCAGTCATGAACTCTTGATGGAATAAGATCAGGAGGAAGAAAAGCCTCAGTCAGTATGAAGCCCACATGAGAACAGACCGCAGCATGGACTTCTGGGATGCCTGCTGTCATCCAGGAGGAGACTTATTATTCCTAGGATCTTGCTCCTGTGCTCTGAACACCCAAAGAACTGGTGCTGCAGATGGCTCTTCTATGCCAAGGGCTCACCGTGAGTCAAGGACACGGGAGAGGGGAGAAGAGGGCGGAGCCCATGAGGAGGAGATCACGGGGTGTGTTCAACACATCCTGGTAGAAGCTGGTTTGACTTCACACCCAACACATGTCTGGAAAGGCAGGAAAGGAGATGCCATCTGCTCCACCACTCCTACAGGCTTCCTACACATTGTCTTTCAAGTTTCAGCTCCTCTCCTTCCTCAGTATCCTACAGTGTTTTCACAAGTTGTGAATCCCCTCCCCACACCATGTCTGGTGGTGTGTGTGTGTGTGTGTGTGTGTGTGTGTGTGTGTGTGTGTGTGTGTGTGTGTGTGTGTGCTTAAAGAAGGTAAAAGAGTAAAGAATCCTGATGATCTGGAGGGAGTTCCTGTTTGTGAGACTGTGTCTATGTAGCCCATAGTCTCCAACTAGTAATCCTTCTGCCTCAACATCAAGAGTACCAGACTTTCTTGTGCAGAGGGAAGTGTTTTCAGTTTGGAAATAATTCTTGAGGAGCTATCCTGATTAATCTTAGTTGTCAATTTGTCAAAATTTAGAATCAACTAAGAGTGTAGTCTCTTGGCCCAACTATCAGGGATTTTCTTAATTAGGTTAGTTGGAGGAGGAAAGCTCACTGGGAATGTGGGCAGCACCTTCTGGTAGCACCTAGAAAGAAGAAAGTACAAAGGAAAAGCTTTTGCTTGTTTTTCTTGCTTATCTTAGCATCTTACTGACAGGTTCATCTACCCTTGTCAAGAGTTCTGCTCTGTTGTTGCTGCTGACACTATTGATGCCATCCTTCACTGACATCATAACTCAACTTCGTTGGTCATCCAGTGTGGACTGAAGTTCAACAGCTCCCCAGGAACCCTTTGGGCTGTCATCTGTACCAGACGACGCGGGGAGGGGGGGGAGCTGAAGCATCATTCCG